AAAAAAAAAAAAAAACTGGGGAAGCACATCCACCATCATTCATTCAATTGCTGTCTTGCCAGAAGTGCTAACATCACAGTTCAGATGACTATCGAAGTTGCAACATCCTCACCTCTCCGATACAATATAGGAAGTGTATTTTTTTTTTTTTTTTTTTACAAAAAATTATTACATTTATGGGCAACAGCAAGAAATGGAGATCATACATCAACTGGGGAACAGGAAGCATTCAGGTTCAACCCAAGGAGAGGGCAACTTTAATTCCTTGGATCAAGTGCCACTTACCAGCATCAAGGCACCCCTCTTGAAGGGATATTAAAGTAAAGTCACGGTGTGAAGAGAAGGTCCTATGTCATCTATACCAATACAATGTAAGATGGAATATACATGCTTGATATATCCTGTTCTGTATATTCCTTAGAAATGAGCCTGAGAAGCATAAATATTTAGAGTGCTTATTGAGCAAGGAAATGAGAGATGAAAAGCATATAAACTGGGTCTACAAGGCATTTGTACAGCATGTGTATATCTTAAAAACAAAACAGCATTTACAGTTATAATTTACAAGGGGTTATGATTACAATCACAGAATTTCAAGTTATAATTTGCAAGTGAATATAATTGATTCCAATTACTGAGTTAAAGTTATGATTTACAAGCTACCACTTACAAGTGGTTGTGATTTATTCCAATCACAGAATTAAAAGTTTGCCAACTATTCACGTGAGATTGATAACGCAAAATTAAATTGCTGCTGTGAATAAAATCCATTTCAATATAACCAGATAATGAAGTAACAAAGCAATACTCAGGTATTTCACAAAACTGTATGCATTCACAAATACAAATACACAATATATAAAAACACTGACAATGACACTGAAACTAAAAGTAACAAGTAATGATGGAATTCAGTACGCTCAGCTTGGAATATAAAGCATCTACAGTATTAGATATGCTTATATTTCCTGAATATCACACACAATGAACTGTCCATGCAATGTTTTACTAAACAAAAAAAAATAAGAGTGCAGTTTGTGCTTACCTAACTATATAGGCAAGCACATAAGACAAATTGTATGTTTTTGTGGCTGTGTGAGACACTTCCCATGTGTGATTACCTATTTGTGACTACAGTACCTATTTCTAGATACAGAAAAGAGCTGTGCTTGTGGTAATCTATCTTCAATATTTAAACTACATGTGACATACTTGAGGGTTTTTACTCCTCACAGCCAGGCCTAAGGTTGAACTACCCTGTTGATTGCCTGGTCAACTAGGTTGCTTGGGCTAGCAGCCTGCAGGCCCACATAGCCATCACACCTCCAGCTGATCTAGTACTTGTAGCAGGAAGGTGTCTACCTTTATGAAAATTTCTATCTTCATTCCTACAATGTTTCTGATATCTGCTGGTAAAATGTTGAGAAGTCCAGGGTCACAGATGTTGACACAGTAATTTGTATTTGTACCCATGGCATCCCTGCTCTTCTCTGGGTTTATTCCACACTTTCTTCCATATCTTTTACTCCAGTAAGTTGTACCAATGTGCAGGTTAGGAACCAGGCCGTCAAGTATCTTCCCTATATACAGTGGAACCTCAGTACTCGAACTTAATTTGTTCCAGAAGGCTGTTCGAGTGCTGATCTGTTCAAGTACCAAACGAACTTTTCCCAAACAATTTTCTTTTTTGTTGGCTGTTATCACAATCTTTGCAGGCCCCATGGTGACTTATTTATACAAATAATATAAAAAACATTAAAAAATGCGAAGAAATACGAAATAGTTTACAGCGAAGTTCTGGCAGGCTGTGTTTGTTTGGTCGAGTGCCGAGCAAACGGTCAACTACAGAGCAATTTTTTTACCAAACAAAGCATTTGAATACCGAATTGTTCGAGTAGGGAGCTGTTCAAGTACCAAGGTTCCACTATATATTATCAGGTATCTCTCTTCATTGTTTCAGAGATACCAATCTAAATGCTCTGAGATGTCAATATTTTAGATTATTTACTGATTCTATACAAGCAGTACGTATATGACCTCGGCATATTTTGTAGCTCTTCCATCTCTCATGCCTTGAAAGGTGCTGTGAACACAAAATATTGAAATCATGTGTACCACTGATTTGAAATGCATCATCACTGGTTGTACCATTTATTACTTCCTCTTTTATTCCATTCCATTATTCTACCCTTCTGTGAAGAAAATATTTCTAGTATCCTTTCAGCTCTCTTTTTTGTCTCAGATTAAAATCATTTTCATCTTTTTATTTTTATTTCAAATTTATTATTTATTTATGGTATTATGTCAAAATTCCTTCTCCTGTATAAATTACTAAAATTTAAAAAGAAAACCTTTTGTTTTTCTTTTTAGGTTTTCCTGCCTCAGTGGATCACTGAAGAAAAAAAAAGTTGTCAACCCATTTTTTCACAAATCAGCCAATGAGGACATGCTCAGCATTTGCAGTTTTTATTTTTTTATTTTTACACTATTGAATTTTGCAGGCTGAGTTTTCATACCTCAACTCATTCCACCCCAGGATGCCACCCACAACAGTCCACTAAAACCCAGGTACCTATTTACTGTTAGAACATGGGCAACAAGTATAGGGAGATTTTTCCCAGCATTTCTACTTACCCAAGACTGAACCTGGGTATTGCACTTATGAACTGAACGTGCTACAAGTGAGTTATGAACCTTTTTCATAACTTCTTTTAGCTTTTCAAGACAGTTTTCAACTTGTCTTTGGACATTCTCAATTCATTCACATTTTTCTAGGTGAAGACACCACACCACTGCAAACTAAAGAAAATAATATACAAAGCATCAAAGATGGTGTCAAAAACTAATTAATTAAAGGAGGAAACACGAGAAACTCACATGCTTCAATGGTAAATTTTAAAACAGCATTCAGGTCTTTGGATGGAAAAATGGTAAAAAATACTGTAGTTGGTCACAATAAATGTTGCACTAAAACTTACAGTATTTTTATTTCTTTTATTAAAATAGGACATCTTTCATGCATCATAATACTGAATATATCTGAACTTTATATCTGATTAGTTTGCAGTTTCCATACATGTATTTGCCTTTCATGGAGTGCTATACAAAATGCTTTCTTGAAAGAAAAGTACAATGGTATTAACAAGAGAATCTTGTATCTTGCATATATTACATTCCTGAAAATTGGCCCTTTATGTAAAATCTGGACTGAAGAACATATGGGAAAAATTGGGTTATTTTCGTGATACTTTGAAAAAAGTCAATCAGGTTTTTAAACTTCATAATTCATTAAAAATAATAATTTTCATAATTTACATTGTAGATGGTGTTGTTTACTGACTTGGAAATGTGTGGAGGAGGCTGATGTGACCTACTAGGCCTAGCTAGATGTACAAAGGTTTATAATATAATTGCAGATAAAATAGCAATATAAACTAACTTTACCTTACTTTAACCCTTAAATGGTCCAAACGTATATATACGTTTTTTTCAACATCTGAAAGTATGTAAAAAAATGTAGATCTTTTTTGTTTAACATTTGAAAACGTGTAAAAAACTTTTATCTACATTTTATTTTTTGTTACATATGGAAATATGTTAAAAAAAATAGATCTACTTTTGTAGCACTATGAATTTGAACGTCGATTTGTTTGGACCGTTTAAGGGTTAAATTGCTGTATAGCCCTTGTGGCTTAGCGCTTCTTTTTGATTATAATAATAATAATAAGGGTTAAATTCTGTTTGCTGGAGCTTGTTGACATAGAAGTGCTGTCAATGAGTGAGACAAACTGCCAAGTGGAGTTTATCAAAACTTACAGTTTTGGTAGCTTTAAAAAACAGGTTGGGCAAATTAGTGAGAAGGGTTGGGTTTGAGAAAAACTTGCCTAGCATGGGCCATTAAGCTTGCTGCAGTGCTCCTCTGTTCTTATGTTATTATACAGGACAGAAATGGTTTAGCAAAAAGAGTTGTGTATGAGTGGCTGAGAGCAGGACCTGCACAGCACATCCCAGTGAACCTACTGAAGTGCTCCTTTAAATTAGTTACAAAATCAATGGCTTAGCAATAGAAGTGTCTATGATTAGCTAAGAGCAAGACCAGCCAGTAGGCCTACTGGAGTGTTCTTATTTAAGAAAGCTTTGCTTCTATATGACTCAGGGTTTTGTTCAATCAAAAAATGTGCATATTTACCAATGCTGTACCATGGAGAATCTCAGGAATAATTTCCTAAACTTTACAGCATAGTCATGCAGTCACTTTCCTGTGAGCCACTGACCTGGGTGCAATACTTTAACAGCAATTTATTGAAAACAAAATCTTTGTATAAGTGAAATGTGAGAGTCTACAGTTTTACATTATATTGCTGAATATTTGACAGCATAATGAAGCATCAAAGTACCATGGGCTTTAGTTAATTATAGGAACAAAACCCACATGGGTATTTTATCATCTTTTCTCTAATAACTACTTCAAGAATTTTTACAGCAACACTTGTTTAGCATGACAGTCCTATGATTAATTCCAGACTACCATTCTACTTGTCAATAAATTCTTCCTGAATTGCATTGTTCACAATATAAAATTGTGGTCTCTTATTCTCCCTGTTAATGATGAGAAGAAATTTCATATTTTCTTGTATCCTTTCACAAACTTATTCTGGTTATCATATTTCCATTTTTCCTTTTGTCAGCTAATGAGGCCATTTCCAGTGCTCTTTGTATATAATTACCTATGATACAAGTAGCTGCCCACTTATAATTACAGGAATAAAGTTATGTTCCTGGTAGTTTGTAGTGTGTGTGTGTGTCTACCTACATGCATGCGTGCATAGTTTTTTGATGAGCAACTGAGCCCTAGGTAAAAAAAAAAATGAGACAAAATTTAAAACATGGAAAAATAGGATATCAAAGGATCTTGTACCCAATGAAAGCATATGTGAGTATTACAGGGAACAAGTTAATAAGGTTGAGGACCAAGCAAATGTCCACTCCATAGTTTTTACCTTTATCTGTTTTTCATTTAATGATTTAGATTTTTCCATCGACTTGCACCTTGACTGGAAACAATAGAAAGCATTGTTTTAAAAACATGAGGCTAACTAATGCAAATTCTAAATCCTAAAAGTTGTCATATTAAATGTAACAAAATTACTCAAAGGTGAGTATTGTTCCTTCAAGAAAATCAAGTACTGTACTGAATGTAGCATGTATCATATTTAGCCAATTAAACTATATAAATCTAAAATGCCGGGAGCAATGGGCTAGTAACCCCTTCTCCTGTATACAATTACTAAAAAAGAGAAGAAGAAAAACTTTATAAAACTGGGTTGCTTAAATGTGCGTGGATGTAGTGCGGATGACAAGAAACAGATGATTGCTGATGTTATGAATGAAAAGAAGTTGGATGTCCTGGCCCTAAGCGAAACAAAGCTGAAGGGGGTAGGAGAGTTTCAGTGGGGGGAAATAAATGGGATTAAATCTGGAGTATCTGAGAGAGTTAGAGCAAAGGAAGGGGTAGCAGTAATGTTAAATGATCAGTTATGGAAGGAGGAAAAGAGAATATGAATGTGTAAATTCAAGAATTATGTGGATTAAAGTAAAGGTTGGATGCGAGAAGTGGGTCATAATAAGCGTGTATGCACCTGGAGAAGAGAGGAATGCAGAGGAGAGAGAGAGGGTTTTGGGAGATGTTAAATGAATGTATAGGAGCCTTTGAAACCAAGTGAGAGAGGGAATTGTGGTAGGGGACTTGAATGCTAAAGTAGGAGAAACTTTTAGAGAGGGTGTGGTAGGTAAGTTTGGGGTGCCAGGTGTAAATGATAATGGGAGCCCTTTGATTGAACTTTGTATAGAAAGGGGTTTAGTTATAGGTAATACATATTTTAAAAAAAAGAGGATAAATAAGTATACACGATATGATGTAGGGCGAAATGACAGTAGTTTGTTGGATTATGTATTGGTAGATAAAAGACTGTTGAGTAGACTTCAGGATGTACATGTTTATAGAGGGGCCACAGATATATCAGATCACTTTCTAGTTGTAGCTACACTGAGAGTAAAAGGTAGATGGGATACAAGGAGAATAGAAGCATCAGGGAAGAGAGAGGTGAAGGTTTATAAACTAAAAGAGGAGGCAGTTAGGGTAAGATATAAACAGCTATTGGAGGATAGATGGGCTAATGGGAGCATAGGCAATGGGGTCGAAGAGGTATGGGGTGGGTTTAAAAAAGTAGTTTTAGAGGGGTTCAGAAGAAGTTTGGGGTTTTAAGGAAAAAGTGGGTGCAGGGGGGAAAGAGGAGCGATTGGTGGAATGATGATGTAAAGGGAGTTGTAAGGGAAAAAAAGTTAGCATATGAGAAGTTTTTAAAAAGTAGAAGTGATGCAAGGAGGGGGAAGAGTATAGGGGAAAAAAAGAGAGAATTTTAAAGAGGGGTGGTGAACCCAATGAAAAAAAGAAAAGAAAAGGGAGAGAGTGGGTGAGTTTGTTTTTCAACAAATTTTTTTGGAAAATAAGAAAATTTTTGGGGGTGAGATTAAAAATTAAAAAAACCCTTAGAGAAAAAAGGATTTTTTCATTTAAAAAATTTAGGAGAGGAGGTTTTAAAGGGAAAGGGTGGAGGTATTGGGAAGATGGAAGGAATTTTTTTGAGGAATTTTTAAAATGTTGATGAAGATGGGGAACCCCTGTGTTTTCGTGTATGGGGCCAAGGAGGAAAAACCCATCTTTTTAGGAGGAGGAAGAGCCAGTTGGGAGTGGGGGGAAAAGTTCGTGAGGGTGGGAAAAAATAAAAGGGGGAAAGGGCAGCCGGGATTGAGGGTTAAAGTTTAGAAATTTTTTAAAAGCAGGTGGGGTTTATAGTTTTGGAGTGGTTGGGGAAATTATTTAAGAAAATGTTTTGGAAGGAGGGAAAGGTACCTAGGGATTGGCAGGGAGCATGCATAGTTCCTTTGTTTTTAAAGGAAAAGGGAAAAAAAGAGAGTGAAAAAAATTAAAAGGGGGAAAAGTCTGTTGAGTTGTACCTTTTTAAAGTGTATGGTGGGAGTTATAATTGAAAGAATTAAGAGTAAGCGGGAATAGGTTACAAAAGAACAAGGGGGTTTGGGAAAGGTTTAGGGGGGGGGTGTGGCCAGGTGTTTACAGGGGAAACATTAATGAACAGTATTTAGAAAAGGCAAAAGAGGTCTTTGGGCATTTTTTGGATTTGGAAAAGGGGTTTGACAGGGGGGAAATAGGGGGGCAATGTGGCAGATGTTGAAAATTTTGTTTTTTTTTGGTTTTGGAGGTGGGGTTACTGAAAGCGGGTAAAGAGTTTTTACGGGGAAATTAGTGGGGGCTCAAGTTAGAGTATGTGGGGAAGGGGAAAAAATTTTTTCCCAGTAAAAGTGGGCTTAGACAAGGATGTGTGATGCCCCGTGGTTTTTTTAAATTTTTATAATGGGGTTTGGGAAGAAAAGAAATGGGGGGGTTTTGGGAAAAAGGAGGCGTGGAGTTAAAAATAAAGAAAACACAAAAAGGGGGGAGTTGTAAAAAGCTCCCCTCTTTCCCGTGCCCATTTGTGCTTTGGGGGAGATTTGAAGAAGTTGCAGAGTTTGGTGGAGGGGAATTTGGGTTTTGGGTTGTGCAAAGAAAAAAATTTAAGGTAAATACGGGAAAAAGGAAAGGGTTATTGAGGATAAAAAAAAGTTTGGTGAGGGAAAAGATTGATTATCAGTTTGGGGAGGGAAGAGTTGGAGGGGTGAACGTATTCAGATTTTTGGGGAGGGGGAAAGGTTGTCAGCGGTTGGGTTTATGAAAGATGAGGTGAATCATAGAATTGATGAGGGAAAAAAAGAGTGAGTGGTGCACTTAGGAGTTGGGGGAAAACAAAGAACTTTGTCCTTGGGGCAAAGGGGGAATGTATGAGAGTATAGTTTTACAACGCTCTTATATGGGTGTGAACCCTTGGGGTGTTTAAATTTTGCAGGGGGGAAAAGGGCTGGAGGCAGTGGAAAAGGGCATTTGGGGGGCCAAAGTTGGTGTGAATATAATGCAGAGAATTCGTAGTTTGGAAGTTAGGAGGAGGTGGGGATTCCCAAAAAACTGTTGTCCAGAGGGCTGGGGGAAAGGGGTTTTTTGAGGTGGTTGGGGACATGTAGAGAGAAGGAGGAAACAAAAAGACCCCAAGAGTTTATCGGTCTGTAGTGGAAGGAAGGCGGGGTGGGGGTGGGCCCTGGGAAGGGTTGGAGGGAGGGGGTTTAAAAGGGGTTTTGTGTGCGAGGGGCTTGGCCCTTCCAGCGGGGCCATGCGTGAGCGGTTTGATAGGGGGGTGAATGGAGACAAAGGGTTTTTTAAAATTGACGTGCTTTTGGGCCAGTGTGAGAAAAGAAACATTTATAAAGGGGATTCGGGGAAAAACCGGGGCAGGCCGGACTTGAGTCCGGGAGAGGGGAAGTACAGTCCCCTGCACCTGAAGGAGGGGTGTTAAGGGTTTGCATTTTTAAAAAACTGAAAGTGAAAAGCCCCCTTCTGGCAAGACAGTGATGGAGTAAAAAGATGGTGAAAGTTTTTTTTTTTTGGGGCCCACCCTGCCTTGGGGGGGAATCGGCCGGTGTGAAATAAAAAAAAAAAAAAAATAAAAAATCAAAGGCCCCTTAAAATAAAAATATTTATTTTAGGTAGTAGGAGGGTAGACGGGCAACCCCCAGGGAGGTATTTCCCGCCCTCCCAAGGGGGTGTAAACAAAAAACCCCTGTAATTGTTTTACATGAGGGGTTGGATTGCTGGTGTTTTTTGCTGTTCATAAATATGAAAGTTTTACGGAAAAGTTTACAAATTCTACTTACACTTGGGGAAAAATTAACATACTTGTAAAAAGCATATATATAAACCCCTCGGGGGTTTTTCTTTATTTTCTTTCTAATTCTTGTTCTTGTTTATTTCCTCTTTTCTCCATGGGGAAAAGGGGAAAAAACGGGAATTTTCTTCCTCTGAAACCCAATGCGTTTTCGTAAGGGCGACAAAAAAAAAAAAATTTGGGGGGGGCAAGGGGCAGAAAACCCTTTCCTTTTTAATATTACAAAAAATTTTAAAAGGAGAAATTTCAGTTTTTTTTTTTGGGGCCACCCCCCCCTCGGTGGGATACGGCGGGTTCGTTAAAAAGATTTATTTTTTTTAAAATAGTAACTGAATATGTATATACAAAGTACAATACTTTAAAAGGGGAAGGGCCCCCAAATTTTACGCATTTTGCCCCTACAGCATTTTGCAAAAAACAATGGTTTTAAATTATACCTTTCTTCACTTATTCAGGCTTTCCTCAATAAATATATTCCCCCTTTTAAACTATAAGCTAAGAGGGGAAAATATATTAAGGTAAGAAAAGTGTGTATGTATATGCATTTTTTTTTTGGCCCCAAAGTTAGTCATTTAAAATATATGTTATTTGAAAGGGAAGGGTACCCAGCCTTTTTTTTATTTCGCCTTCCTAAACTTAATGACAGAATTTTTTCCCAAAAGGGACCACGTCGCAAATAAACCCAATCGTTTTTGTGAGGGAAACTTTTAAGGGGTAGTGGGTAGTGTCAACCATTTCTGTTTATATTATGTCCCCTTTTGCACCTTTTATAACATTTCTGGTTATTTTTAATTTTTTTAAAACAGTATTTATTTTTTTTTTTTTTTTTTATCCAACCCGGGCCCATTCCCACCCCAAAGGGAGGGTGGCCCCAAAAAAAAAAAAAACTTTCACCTCATTCCTCCAAACAATGTCTTTTCCGAAGGGTGTTTTTCAAATAAAAGTTTTTAAACTGCAAACTTAAACAACCCCCCCTTCAGAGTGGGCACTGTACTTTCCCCCCCTCCCAGGGGCTCAAGTCCGGCCTCCGGTTTCCCCGAAACCCTTTAAAATGTTACTTTTCTCACACTCCAACTGCCGTCAAGTATTAAAAAACCCCTTTTTCTCCATTCAACTCCCATCAAACCGCCCCAGCCCGCCTGCTGGAAGGTCCAAAAACCCCCCGCACACAAAAAACCCCCTTTACCCCCTCCCTCCAAACCCCTTTCCGGCCCACCCCCAAA